GCACCGTCTTCAGCTTTCTGTATATAAACCGGGTTAGTAAGTCCCTGTGGTCTTATCCTTTTGATCTACTAACCGATGTATCAAAAGTGATGGAGAAAGTATTGTTGGTATCCGGGGCAGCGCTATGAGGAACAAGGGTAAAGCTGTGCTGCACCCATTTGTCCTCAACGCTATGCGACGCAATCTTAGCACTGGCAAAGACTTTGCCCGTACGTGCAGACTGAAGTAAAGCCGTGAAGCTGCCATTGTAGGCACCCTTCACGTAAAAAGACCCGGTATATTGCTGGGGCTTGACATCAATGCCCCACCAGCCCAGGTTAGTGAGACCAGCTTGACCCTTGCCGCCCTTGACGTTGACCGATGTAGGCAAAGCAGATGATAGGGGATCACTGAGGTTCTTCAGAGACAGCGTAGCTCCGTTGACAGCGGTCCAAGCGTCCAAGTTGGACGGGTACTTGGAACCTCCCTGGAACGCACGATTGCGAATCAACTCCGCATAGAGACCCCCTTCACCACAGTGGTTGATTTCCTGCATTTATCATTAGCATTCGTGTCAAAGTTTACTGCTGCTATGAGGAATCACCTCTTCCATGAGACCGTACTGCAAGTTAGTCGTGACATTGCCCCCAGACGACGCAACGGAGATCTCAACGGCGGCAGTGCACGCTGCCAGAAGCGGCAGGAGAAGAGAATTAGACAACAGCATGGTATCCCGCTCCACAGAAAGACACGCTCTGGTAGTTATCTGCAGGTCCTATACCTGGTCAATTGGCAGGGTTACGAGGCAGATCCTGCAGATCGCAGTGACATTATATATGCGTCCATGGCGGGCCAGGGAAGGATGTCTCCTTGCTGAAGCATAATTCTACCCCTCAATTGAAGCTGTATCTGCGGGGTCAACCTGAACAACGTGGTCTGTCTAATTAAAGCTTGCATGAATTGCAAGGGACGAGAACGAGAGGCCCGCAAGCGATTGTTTTCAAGCTTCCCATTCTGGCAAAATCCCATGAGGGGGTGACAAGGGTGATCGTCAGGGCATTTCCAAGTTCGTAGGGGCAATTAGCCGGGACGCATGATTAGATGCTAAATCACCTCGAGCAGGTAGAGACGTCGCAGACTGCCGACTAGATCCAGTCAGTCTCTCTGAGAGGATTCAGCAAAGGTACGACTTTCTCCAACACTGAGGAGAGTCCCATTGGGACTTATACCAAATACTTCCTGCAAACAAGAGCCGTGGCTGAATATTGGCAAGAAAATAAACTCTCATCATCCCCAGTAGTCTAAATGGTCGTCGACCAAGGGAGGAGTTTAGGCAAGCCCCAGACGGAAGTTCCCCGCATGGACGGCCCAATTTGCTTGCCATGGAACGTGCGAGACAAGAATCAAAAGCTAAATATGTGCTGCTGGAGCCGGGAGAAATGCCGGAGACTGTCCGTTTAGATGATGGCTAGTCTGAATATGAGCAATGCATGGAGAAACGAGGAGAATCGGGGATTCTCCATGTGGGGTTTGACGGACTCCATTTCTCCGTCCGAAGCCTCCGAATGCCCCTCTCGTACCTCGCATTTCACTTGATGGTCGTGGTTAAAGTCATAAGAGGCCTCGGAGGTATTGTCAAAACTTTAGCTTTGTGTTGTGCGAGCTTCTTCTCCATTCATCAACTTCACTGGCTTGTTCGCGGAGAGCCAGATCTTCATGCTCTGATCAGTCTGAGCGGCGTGACCTTGTTGATGACCACTGTGTACAACGTACACATGTTCCAAGGAAGGCGAAAGGAGACCAAGCACAACTAATGGCCCCCGCCGCTTGGTTTCTCTTTCCCTATCTTTTCAACCTTGACGCTGTCTTGACAAACTTTCAGGACGATCATACCTACAATATCAAGCTCAATGCACTATCAAGTTGTCCTAATGGATTCGCCTACCATGATCTGAACAGATGATCCCTCAATACAAACCATCACAGATCGCTGTTTGACTAGCTTCACTTTGGAGTTGACCTCTGAAACTCATCGACTCGCTGCCTGTGGTATGAGGCTGTAGCCACCATATGACAACGTCAAGAGTCAGCCCTGGCCATGCAAGATGTCCTGCTCACGCGCAATGAAAGACCGTCTTGATGTCACATCGTTACAGCTGGTGGTGGTCCGAGATTCCAAGTCAGATTATAAACTGCGTAGTACTAAAGGAATGGTATCCTCATTTGCAAGCACCTATTCCTCAAAAGTCATATTTCATAAACAAAAACAAGCAGCATACACAAAAATGTATAGAAACAAAAACCACCGAGCAGAACATCCGAGGTATAGATCGTAATAGATATAAAGGACCGGATGAGTGTATAAACAAGGAGGATATCACTCCCGGCGTGTCTACAAGTCCAGCGGCATTCGATGTGGGAATATTATCGACGTCATCGATCGCGAGGCTTAGCACATTTCGCAGCATTCGATACAATCAAAGCAGCACTCGCAGGTCTCTTCGCAAAGGAAGCAGCAGCAGAGGGTGGCAAGACTAGCGGAGAGAAGAGCAGCGTTAGCAACTGATACGCAAACATCGTATCCACGCGACTCTGGTCAAGGGAGGGAAACGAGTAGAGCTTACCAAGCACCTAGACATCCACGGTCCTTCTTCTGACGAGGCTGTTCTTGGTACGGCATTTGCTGCTGCCGAGTCTATTAGTTCTTTATTCTCCGTAGACATGCGACGGTGTTGTAACGTACTGGAGGTTGGTACGGCTGCTGCGGTGGAGCATAGCCTTGCGGCTGTTGGGGAGGATAGCCTGGCGGGTATTGTCCCTGTTGAGGAGGGTAATAACCTTGGGGAGCTTGGGGGTAACTATATTCACAAAACAGATTAGAAACTACCTTCAAGCGCAAAATCCAAATACATGAGAAGAGATCGCATTGTCTTCGTTCAAGCCTTCCTTCAGCAGCGTTTCCTCGAAGAACAAAAGCATGATGACAGCGTAGCTAAAGCGCTCCATGACTGTCTTGAGTCCAAGAAGCAAGGCGTGGTGAAGTTCGAAACACCAGGCCGGAAGGGAATGAACGAAAAGGACGATAGGAGGTGGGAAGGATAGATGCAAATGAGTCCAACATCACTTACTGAGGCTGATGGCCTTGATTGTAGTAGTCCGAGGAACTCATGATGGAGGAAGAGTGTTCTGCAACGTTGAGAGAGTAGAACAGTCAGTATGGATAACAAAAATCAGACTGGCGGAGAGAGAGTAGGAGAATGGCGCGATCGTCTGCGAGAACAGAACCATACGCAACGGAGAGCCAATAACAAGGGAGAAAGCGTACCTAAGCAAATGCCAAGTGCCAACGGTTCGAGAATAGGCAATAAGGCGATGGGAAAGGGGTCAAATAAGAGGAGAAGATGAGCTGTGGTGTTTGAAAACTGAAAAGGGACAAAGAAGCGGAGAAGGAGGAGAAGGGATCAGAGGGAGCTAGGCAAGCTAAGATTCGGACTAAGTTCCTCCAGATGACTACCTTGACAACTCAATGGGTTTTTATTATTAGCTCTCTGTCCGAATGCTTCCACAATTCAACAGATTTCTCAAACAACTCGTCCAAGGATCAGTCTTTTAAAATTGTCCCTCCACATATGCAACGCTGAACTCTTAGTGCGAATACCCCGACCGCGGAACTGGGTCGCTTCCCACAAGCCATCTACTGGCTACCCCTTCAATCGTGGTTCTGGTAACAAGGCTGCCTAGAACTCCCTCAGAGAATCCGCTTTTTTCATGCTTAAACATGGGTAGGTACCAGTTTGTTGCTATCAATTTCCTGGGTTTTCTACCAGTGAATTCAAAACAACAGCCACCCTTCGTGAGCTGAGCCACAGCAGTATTCCTAATAATACCAGCCCGGTTACAGCCCTACTGTCTACAACAAAAACCAAGCCACGGCCGGCGGTCGGTAATGAGGTCATGGTTGGCCAAAAATCTCTCACCTGCCAGACTCATTGGCTGTCCGTGGCCCACACTTGAACTCCTACTAGGTAGGTAGTGGCTTCAGCTGAACTTATCATGAAATAATAACCAATGAAATATACCTATGCTCTGGTCCCAAGTTTGAGCTATCAGCATATCAGCCAATCGTTGCTGGCTTTTTTTTTTTTCTGAGACTGAGGTGGCACTCGTGGCTGGTGTCCACCTGAGCCACTGTGTCGCCCAGACTCACCACCCCAATTCGCCAATTAAAGTGGAACATGTCTCGTTGCTGCCTAAATACCTAAATATTCTATAGAGAGTACGGAGTACGGAATACCTTCACCATGAATTATCCCTGGTTCACGCAAGTCATACGGCAACATATCGGCTCTTGTCACGTCCTCTCAACTCACAACACAGCCTCCTATGTGGACGATCGATTGTTGTCAATATTGACAAGGCTCCCTAGTGCCCAATTGGGAAGTCCTGAAGCTATTCGAGGAAACGAGAGGCCGCTGACGGGGAGGAATGCGGCCAGGTCAAATAGAACTAACCATATCATCACAATTTAATGGTCCAGCGCTTCTATGTCATTGAAAATTCAACATTTGCTAGGATATTGCGCATCCTTTGTTCGGCCTCTTTTTAAACTGACTTCGATTGTGCTTTCTCTATGAGAGTGTCAGAAGTAGAAGTCGCGGTGGAGCAAATAAGAAGGAGCTACAAGATACCTTCCATTTGTTCAGCTCGGCCATAGAAGACCTAGTTTGCGGATGTTCTGCACCCAGAGACTGGCATTGGAGCCGAACAACCCGTTCAAGGAGTTCTATTGCTTCGATATCTCGGCCTTGTGTCTTCCAGTTATCGGAAAGATGCCTCATTGCCACCAGTGTGTCAGGATGTTCGGCTCCTAGCGTTTTCTCTCTCACTGCCAGTGCTCGTTGGTGCATCGCCTCAGCATCCCTGTATTTCCCAAGGCCAGCGAGCGCAAAGCCCAGGTCGTCAACGGATGTCAAGGTGCCAGGATGGTCGGCCCCGAACACCTCTTGACTGCCTGTTAGTGTCTACTGAAGGAGTCCTTCAGCTTCCCTGTACTTCCCTTGCCACAGGAGCGTGGAGGCTACGTTGTTATTAGCTACCAACTTCAACGGATGATTGGCCCTCAACCTCTGTTCATAGCTTGCTAGCACCTCTCGGTTCATCAATTCCGACTCCTGACACTTTCCCTGATAACCGAGCACCGAGCCTAGTTCGCTAGTAGTCATTAGCATGTCGAGATGGTCGATCCCAGTCATCTTCTCATATCCTGCTAGGGCTCTTCGATACAACATCTCAGCCTCCTCGAACCGTCCCTGGAGCTTCACTACCATGGCCAGCATATGGACACTGGTCAGAGTACTGGGATGGTCATCTCCGAAGGCGTTTGCAAAACCTGACAATGCTTCCCGATACAATATTTCTCCCTCCATATGTTTGCCTCGGAGTGTAAGTACTGTCACTAGGTTCCCAATACACATAGGTGTGGTGGGGTGGTCAAGGCCTAATACCTTCCCAGACCCTGCTAACGCTTTCCTAAGCATTGTCTCTGCCTCTTCATATTCCCCCCGGTTCCTCAGCACTAAGCCCAAGTTGTTCAGACTCACGAGTGAAGAGTGGTGGTCAGTCCCTAGCAGCTTCTTAAAACCCGCTACTGCCTGTCGATACATGTTAAATGCCTCGTCATACTTCCCTTGGCCGTCCAGAACCAGACCCAGTAAATTGATGCTATTGAGTGTTTCGGAGCTCTCCTTGCCAAAGAGTGGTTCTCTCATTTTCAACGCTTTAATTGCCATATCTTCCGCCTCGTTCAGGTCGCCTTTTCTCCAGGCATATATTGCTGCTTTGTGTAACGATAGAGGCAGTGAATCATCTGTATCCAGCTGCTCACACATCGCTAGCTTGGTGTGTGGGAACAGTAGTTGACACTTTGTCCAGTCCTCAAATTCTCCTGGAGGGAACGTTCTCTCTTGCAAGGCTTCTGATAGAACTTAGCTTCCACCTTTCGAGCTGATCATGTGCCTCAAGCCATTTTTGCACGGCGAGCTGCACTAACCGATGCATTCGGAAGCTTGCAGCATCCGCGTTCACCGTGATGAATGAGAAGTTCCTTAGTGTGCGGATATCATCCTCGAATCTGTCGTCCACATTAGATTGGACTAGGCTGTCTGTATTGTCCATCGTGCAGCTGTCAACTGCGTCTGAGTAGTTTTCTTTGTTGGTATTGCTTCTTTTTACATTACTGAAGTCTTGGAGCAGACACTGATGTATTCCTTGCCGATCAAAGAAGCTCATCAATGCCAGGAGATTTGCGGCTGATGGCCGTTCCAGAAGGATGTGATCGAACGATATTTGCCAAGTATGAATAATAGAATTTCTGGCCTCCCAGTCTCGCCGAAGTTGTCCCTCCTCATGCTCAAGGAGACTCAGCTTTCTACTGTCGCTGCTTTCAAACTGTTGAAGGTATTGCTTCACTGAGGAACGGGGAGCTCTCTGCCGGATGTAGGATGCTGCCTGGACGATTGCAAGAGGCATGCACTCAAGTGCTGCTGTCAGCTTCATAATGTCCTTTGGGTTTTCCGGTATCCCAAGCTTCGCCTCAAAAAGCATTTGGGCGTGGGTCTTATCCATTGGGTGCACAGTGATGATGTCGCGTTCTTCGACCATTCTGAGCGCCACGGCTCTATTTCGTGTAGTTATCATCAAGGATCCATGCGTACTTTGGGGGAGATATGCCCATAATGGCCGGTCCAGCGAGCGATCTCTGTCGCGCTCGGTTGGATTCTGACTGATAAACGGCGCTCGACGAAGGAAGTGATCATCGTCAACATTATCGAGAATCAGGACCCAGCTTCCCTTTCGGCCATCCTGGAGCCATGCATGAACAAGTTGATATATATTGGCCTTGGGATCCTGCCGGCCGGTGATTTTCGCTCGCTCTGCAATCTCCCGAAACCCCTGTTCGAAACGAGCTATGTTGCTGGCATGGATCCAGAAAACCCACGTTTCTGGGGAGTGTTCCCGGACTCTATGAGAGTATTCGATAGCGAGCTGCGACTTCCTTTCCTGTGTCAGCAACCGTATAGTCCTTTTTAGTGTACTTGTCTCACCCAACGCCGCCAAGGCCCACCAGTGCGATTCTAGATGCCGGTGCCAAACATTTTTCGTGAATCTGGTCAAGTAGTGTCCCGTGTCTAACAAAGTCTGGATCGCGACGAAACGGAACAGTAGATAATGGGCGCGGCGGTGTCTCGGGTCTTTCTGAACCAGGACATCATTAGCGAAGCCTTGTCCTGTTCGATGCACGACTTACCAGGTTGGGAATAGAAGTTCGCAGTGATGGAAGCGTTGCTCACTCCCACTTGGAGTCCAGCGTTTCGTTCACCAAAAGATATCGTATGTTCCATGATGATTGTTGCATAACAACGAGGACATGAACATTGTGGCGCTTGGAAATATACTGATCCTATAAGCGCCCGCCTTATGTATCCCTGTAGACCCCGCAGTAACGTGGCACCTGTGCGGTTTGCTATATGGCCTCATGTTTTCGTGAAACTATGGACGCAATTTCTCCTCGGAGATCAAACAATGCTCATTGTCATGTATAATGGTAGATCTTTTTAGTATACCGCAGGCATTGTCGGCATCGTTGTTTCCGCTCTCCAGGGACTCACGCTTCTCCTAAAGGCCCTATAAAGCATCAAAGGCGCACCCAAAACCATCAGCAATCTAAAGGCCGACGGCAGCGCCATCTAACTGGCCCTGGCCTCCCTCCAAGCCATCCCAGGCGAAGAATAGAAGTCCCTCGGCACAACCGTGGCAGATGAAGCAAAAGCCACCATCGCAACCTGCACCAAATCATGTGAGACATTCCGCTCTGACCTCCAGCGCTGGACAGCTCGCTCTCAGGATGGCAATGGGAGATTGTCGCGGCTCGATCGAGCAAAGGTGGGGATCTTCAAGCAGGGACAAATCAAGTCTATGTGCGAGCAACTGCAGAGCTGCAAGATCTCAATCAACTCCGTTGTTAGCATAGCAACGCTGTAGGTTGAATCCGATGTGTTCTTTAGATGCTCAAGAAGTAGAGACTGACTGGCGAGCGATTATGGTGTATAGATACAGCTCTCTTCGGCATACCGGCCTCACCGAGGAAATCCAGAAGACGATCTCCATGCGGCAGACAGAGATCGAAAGCGCCATCAGGACGACGAATAATCAGATCGCTGATATCCAAACAAGACGAGAGGAATTTGGCCCTGTGGACCTGGCCCAGGCAGCCGCAGACCCGGAGACTGAAGCAGACATGCTGAGACAGATCGACGAAGAACACAAAGCACTATATATATCGCGAAGATTGCTCAATGAGCTCCTGATGAGGGTGCAGGACAGTACTATTGTGAATGTTCTGGCGAGGAACGAGAATAATTCGATGCGTGTGACATTTGGGAATCAGAACTCTGGCCTCCAGATCGGTGTCAGCAACGGTCCTATCACCGGGATCAGTTTTGGCTCAAATGAGCGTCTGAATGCCATGTGAAGTATTGATATGGGGCTTGGATCTCATTTGCATCGACTGGATATAATCGATTCTGAGAAATGTGAAGGATAGAAGTATATTTGTAGAATGGTCCTATCAAAACAGAACTGTCTATAGAATCTCTTACAAGTCAATGGGTAAAAGTACACGAGAAATTGCTAGCATGGGAAGTGTGATTCTGTCCGCCCAGCCGCACCGGTACGATATTCCAGATAGTCAATCACCGACGGTCTGTCCAAGCCAATGCCAGACTAACAACTTTCAACAGTAGGGTATCGACTTGGTAATACTTTACAATATTGACCATAATTTGTATTAGACTGCGCGCTTACATGTTAATACAGAACATGAGAAGAATTTGTACATTAGTATATGGTGGAGCAAGATGGCTCGAGCTCATCACTCCGAACTGGGAGACCTGCGTAGGGTGAAATAGAGCTGAAGAGTAGGAGATATACAGCTGTGAAGAGAAATTGAGATCCAATCAATGTGTGAAATCACATGAAAATAAAAAAATCATCATGATGGTTACCAAAGTCGAAAGGATGAATGAAGAAGAGATGGAAAGAATAAAGTCATTACAGGTCATCATCATACATACGAGTCGATCTCAGGCGGTAGAGCCTGAGAATCAAAATAACATGTCGTCTCAAGAGACGGGCCCACTGTCATCGTGTGGAGGTCAGAATAGCCGTGGTACCCGTGGGCCATAGTGGCCTCCATACCTACTTGAGGGAGGCTGTCAGCTGGTGCCGAAGGCAACCCGTTGAAAGCCGCCTCATCCGTAGATACTGACGGCGGCACAGTAGCCAGATCTTCCCCTGTTGTGTCCTGGTCAACAGCATTCTGGGCATTCTCAAGAACAAATTCCTCTTGCTGCACCATCCAGTGCTTCAGTACTTCCATCGGCGGGTGATTCCCGCCACCCTTACCACCTCGCTTCTCACTGTCTTTTCCACGTCCTCCCCGTCCGCGTTGGCACGGGTTGAAGTGAGTACGACGGAGATGGGCAGCGGCGTTGTAATTAGCACCATACCGTTTCCCATTCCGACAAGCCTTGCAGTTGGCCAGGAAGGTCTTGCCTGGAGATATATCCACGCAGACCCAAACCTTACGGACCACTGAGTGCACCCGTTCAATGTGTCTTCGCAGCTCGTGCTCCCCGTGGAAGCCATCTGGCTGGTCATTGCACATGTGGCAGTACGTTTTCGGGCGCGGAGGCCGTTGTATCGAGGCCTTAGGGATTGCCGCAACTTCTTTCGAAGTGCCGTCGGACGATGAGATACGAATCATCTTGTGTTGCCCCACCAGCTTCGCTGGAGAGGTATTGCGCGACTCAAGTTTCGGTGCAATAGGTCGAGTACCCTGCACAATCTGTTCTTGAGTCCTCCGCGCCGCTCTTGACTGCTGAGAAGTAGCCGAACTGTCGCTTTCAGCAGACATGGAAGGCTTCATCTCCGTAGCAGGGGATTCAGGGACAGTTGAAGAGGGAGGGGGGTAGAATGAAGTTGAGGAGGGTGCTGAGCAGGAAAATGGAAGAGGAGCGGAGTCAGAGAAGGGAAAGGTGACGGGTTGCAAGGCTTGCTGACTTGAGTAGTCATGGATTGGAACATTGACAGGGGAAACAGAGGGCATAAATTCAGTAGAAGGCATAGAGAAGGGGTAGCTGGAGTTTAGATTTGGTCCGGTGGAGTCAAATCTGATCATGCCCAATCCACCACATATGGAGTCGGTAGTAGTACTCCTGGTCATCTCCACTGCTGCTGAAGCCAGTGGTGCCGGTTGGTTAGCCAGAGATGGATTCGACAAATTAGTAGGGTCTGTCGAAAACTCCGGTATTGATGCTTGCAGTTGATGCTGGAGTCCATTCGAAGCAGGATCCGCAGAGAGGGCCAGCGACAGCGTAGATACGTTCGACCGGTCCTGAAAGTCGTCCAAACACTGCCTAGCATATTCGGACGGCGAATATTCGTTGACATGGTCAAGTCGAAGCTGCGAAAGCTGAGGTCCGTAGGATTGCCGATGTCCCAAAACACCTGGGGCCAGTGGTTTTCGGTGAGAGACCGGAGTCTGCTGACTCTGCGATCTAACCATGGCTGTGTGCCGGACAGAGGACCCAGTAACCGATGGGAGGGAGAAGTCGTCCGTCCGAGAAGCCATTCCAGTAGATTTCAGATCGGTTTCGGGGGCCGCTGGCGAAGAGGCGTGAGAAAGCTCACGAGTCAAGTCAACGGTCACTGGTGGCTCCGGTGTCTGCCAAGTGTCAATCCATGGACTGCCGGCGGGGGAGTCAAGAGAAAGAGGATGGAGTAGCGCAAGAGAAACATGGTGGGTTATGAACGGAAGGTGGAGAAGAGGCGGGAGCAGGAGACCAAGATAGATCACATACGGTGACTCGTCGTTTTGTCGGAGGAAGACCAGAACCAGGGAGAGTCCGAGGAGTATCCTGTCGCGTCCGTTTCCCAGATTTCTCGAGAGATGAACCAGTGTCAGGGATGCCAGAGCCGGGAACTGGACGGTAACTGGATGACGCCGTTGCCGGTAAGAACTGGCTCAACCGCTGACTCCAAAGACGATTGCGCTCTGATTCCGGAAGGTGAGAGTGTCGATCCAAAAAAGCGTCCCGATACCCAGAGATGGCCCTTGTGAAGAGATCGTCGTCGGCCATGGTGACTGCCATCGCAGGGGGATGATCCTTTGCGAGCGCCTCTCCAACAGAGCTCATGGGGGGATAGCTGCTATCAGTATCACACGAGATTGAAGAGGGAATTATTCTGTATGATAAGCAATTAGCACCACGAATAAAACAAAGAATGAGCAGTGTGGAATGTGAATGAAATAGAGCCGACGGTTGACGGGGTTCGGGGAAGGAGGGAAGGCTGACTGTACCGATAGATAGAAAAATAGTTACAATATGGTATCCAGGCGCGCCGTTGAGGGATCAGTGACTATGAGGAAGAGAAGACAATAATGGATTGGCAAAGGTGCGAGAGTGCTCGAGATGTATACAAGGACCGAGTTGGGAGGGTTATCGCCAAGATGAAAGAAAGGGTATTGACTGAGAGAAAGATCGCGAAGGGGAGGATGGGATTTAAATGAGAAGAAGAAATGGGACGGTAAGATTGATTTGATGGCGAGCTATCCCCACGGCTCGGAGGTGCAGTAATGAAATCTTCTGAAAAGTCAAAAGGGACGGAAGATCTGTCAGAAGAGAAGGTCTGAATCTCGAAGTTGAAACTTGGGGAGCGACCAGAGTGGGGATGCTAGCTCAACTGGGCGTTATGGGATGGATTATGGATGGAGTAGTCAGATAGATGGTTTAACTATCTAGATTATTTTCGAGATAACTAAAGAGCCTACTACTACTAGAACAATAATAGATAGCTAGTTAGTTGGTTGTATTATGGAGCACTACTAAGGAGCACGCTGCGATACCTATTTGGGTGATAGATCATATGGATCATGGTCGGTGGATCAGCAGCAATCGTCAATGGGGATTGACGATGAAGTCCACGAACTTTTGGCAGAATCGAAGGTCTGGAACACTTCTGGCTTCTTTGGCTTCATACGATTGGATTAGAGAAGAAACCAAATATTTTTTCTTTTTTTTGCTGATTTAATTTTCCAAATTAGTATGCGGATATCGGTTTGACGTCGTCACTTCACATTGAGACCTCCAAGCCAACCGATGAGCAGGACGCCATCCAAAGGTGGATAAGGTAAGCTTGGGAGTTACAGAAGAAGGAAAGCTCAACTTCTAACTATAGTTAGTCGATAGTTGATCGCTACTCTGTCAGGGCAAGGTACCCAAGAGCCTAAGGCACTAACTTACTTGGTCTAGTTAAGGTCAAATGGATTCAGGCAGGATCTGGGTACGGAGTACGGAGTACTACAGATATGGAGTGTGAATTGTCCCGTCCTCGATCGGCAGAAAAGGGGAGTGTGACCTGTGAGGTAAACTAGCAGTACCTGATCACTCCATAGCGCAGGGTTCCAGGAAACGCTCCAGTTGTCCATGGTGCAATGATGAGGTCCCTTTTAGGCCTAGAGTGTCTAACCTATCTTGAAAGCCCAAAGCGGTGACGACACTGGTCAGAAAATATTGTTGTCGAAAAATACAGGGTGAACACGGAGTCTTTCAAAAGTGAGGCAGCCAAACGGATTGCGCCGACCAAACCCCGGGCCACCAGGACAGCAGGAGAGGAAACAGGATGCATTACGGAGTATTGTCCAATCCTCCAAGTCTCAAGATTCAGCCCTTGAAATGAAGAAATACAATAGAAGCCATTTCACTGCTGCAATCATCAGTGTGATTGGTTCTCATCACTATTATGGTGTCCTGAGAGCACCAAAAGATCCAGCAAGATTTGTTGTAGTAGTGGCCAGGATTACTTGTAGACACATTGTGTGTAGTCTTCGATTCATGTGCCTTGTCAAAGTGTTAACAGACGATGATGAAAGTGTGAGCTCCCTTTCATGGTTCTTTCTGGCTATCGCCTTCAGCGCATGCAAATTCTTCCCTCGTCCCCTGAGCGCGCCTACAGCGGTACCAACGAGATCGCAAAGTATCCCAGAGCCTTTGGGCAAGTTTGTTCTTGGTCACCCTCCAAGCCAGCATAGTTAGGCTTAGCGGTGTCAGCAACCCTTCAAGCATGTAGTACTGCCACAGTTTGCAGGCCAGCCGGAAGTGACCTGATTGTACCCTTCGACTCGAGGTCTGCCACGTTGCTAGACTACACCGTATCCGGATCTGTCATTATCTTGCTGCCAGTCGCCGGGCATCTTAGTCCAACTGCGCGTTCAGGTGACGCTCTAGCCGATGGTCAGACATGGTATTCATACCCTGAGTATTTTCGAGCGCGTGGAGTCAGGCCAGGAGCGGTATGGCAAAGTGTTGTTTCTCGAAAGAACTAAAATAGAGACGAAGCGAAAATTGACTTAAACGAGAATCTGATTCCTGAGGCATCAATTGTTCTGGCTGCCCAAATGAACCTTTCGTGCAACGCACAGCAGTCTCCAGAAAGCAAACTCCATCAACCCGAACGATACCCTTGAGTTTGCATCATTTACCTGTCGTCACCCCACGCCTTTTTCAGCGGTGAGATGCCATCTTGCGCTGTCGCGAAAACAAACCCATTCCGACCACGGAACTTTCCCGTGGTACCATTCGGAAGACTCCCAAGGGTCATATGCCCGGCCAAGCGTGGCCGTCGCCGACTTCACTTTCTGGGAGACCGGGTATCTGCTCACGATGCCCCTCGAAGTCCGAAGTCGCATCTATCGCTTCTTTCTCGACAGGGCACATCAAATGGCGATCCTACCACTATTCACTGACCGACAGTGCTAGGTTCTAAGTGGAGATGCTGACCAGCGAACGTCTCACGTGTAACACGTGACCTGGCCCTTTCGTGGTTCAGGTCTCCATGAAGTACTAGTATGCCGTCCCGGAGATGTTTTGCAACATCCACAACTGACTGCAATTACTCTAATCGGTCAAAAGGGCTTGATACTTCAATATTTGACCGACTTCTTAGTACTATTTGTTCTCTAGTAGATCGTCTTTCTTTCATCACAGTTACCGCTATCCAAGTGGACTTGTAGACCATACAAGTCTTTCTCCTTTTGTGATGGATATACTGTCTCGGCTACCGGGCAATTTCGTTTCATCCTCCAGATCTCAAAAGTATAGAGGACAAAGCCAAGCCACGAGCCAGGTAGATGAGGTCACTGTGGGCCTTGATTTGGCCTCAAGGCTGCGTAACGACCATGATCGGGGGGAATCGTAGGAAGGGAGTCAGTAGCACAGCGTTGTAATTCGTTGCTGACAGTGGTGCTACATGGTACATACTCACCCGTGTCGGTATCTAGAAAAGGATCGCAATCGACAAGGGGTATCCACGGAGTACGGAGTGCCTACTATCTACAGATAGACAAAAATAGGCTCGACGGTCACGCTCTTCTCTACCACACTTTCACTGGTGGCCTTCTGTACATTGGCCAGAAATGACCTCCTTGGCCAAGTGGGGCCACCGTCTGGCGTAGATCAGACAAATGTATCAGAAATCCTTTGTAGATGGGAATCGGTAGGCCGCCGCATCCCCTTTCACATTTGGCTACTTACTCTATGGGCTACTTATCATCATCAGTCATAGTAGTTTCATGTGCACACGCCCATACGATGATCATTTTGCTAGAAATCGTTGCAGACACAGAGAGGCAAAGCCACGGCGGCAGGGGCTTATGACTCATCTTGCCCAAATCAAATCAACTACTGAGCAGTGCGCAGGCGATAATCGAGCGTTATGTTCACAAAACCGAAGCCTCACCCCATCAGGACACTGAGTTAGACAAAAGAACAAACTCAGTTCTTACTCATAATGTCGTGGGCTGGAAAGTGCCTCAGCAAGCCTCCAGCTCGAACATCTGCAAAGCCAAATGCCCGAAGTAGACCTTTCTGCCTGAAGGCCTCAACAACGAAAAAGGGTTAAACAGGTCATCAACAGCATGGAACTAGTCCTCCACGTCTACATGATATCAATAAGCTAGAGTTATCGCCTAGTTTGGCTATACTGGTGTCCCAGTCTGACCACCATCTTCTTTTGGCGAAGTACATAAGGTGTAGGATTTCTGTTCTCCGATGAACTGGTCAACTTTCGCCTTCGTCTAGGTTCATCTCTAACTTAGCAGGCTATGTCGGCAGACAGATTTGGAAGGCTGACATATGGCTCAGCTCTAGGCCTCGTCCCAAAGTTCGCTTTCATATATAAAGTGGCAAGGCACCATTATTCTATGTTTGCCCAATGGGTATCTACAGGGTCGGGTGTCGACCGACACCCCTTCAGCCCGTCTCCTCTTGGTGAGGCTCAGGCTTCTGTGTTATCGATGACGCGTCTAACTGAGGATTGAGAGGCAACCTGGCGAGGACTTGAGCATTAAGACAAGATCCTTGCAATAGCAGGGCGTGATGCAAAGTGACAGCGTGCTAGGGAGTCCAGGGTTTTGCGCTCGGGCCTGTGGAGAGTCGGGTTGTGTGGTTTCTGACTCTCCCTAAAGATCTGCTACGAGTTGAGTGAGCTCGCAGAGCTTTGGCAAATTTACATTTTTGAGAAGGTAGCGATTTTGTCTAAGCACCGTGGTCTTTCCATTATCGGAATTACACGACCGGTTTACTCAGATTCTCTCGCGCTCTTCATTCATTGGTCAATTGGGTTGCAGCAATATTCCAATCGCCCATGAATACCTAGGCAACATTCAAATCAAGCCATCTCTTTTTCGAACTCAAGCATTTCAGAGTGAAGTACCTTCCTTCGGCTATAAAAATAGCCTTCTTCTGGTCACCTGAAACGCCTGTGAATTCTTCTTTGGGCGTATACGTCAAATTTACGACTTCATCGTGCATTTCGCTTGGCCTGACTCCTCTAGGGCGAGAAACCCCTCGACTGTCGACTCGCCGTTATAACCGTCATGGGATGCTGAGAGGTGTCCTTCAAACCTGTGATAGCTCTTCTGCCATCGCCGCTTCGCATGACGGACGAATGACTAAGGGTTCATACTGAGGAGTTTATTTGACAACGCATCCATCGCGGATATACATCCCCGCGAAGTGGATCTTGGAGGGATCAACGCGGAGAAGGTTACCATTTTATCCGATGCTAACGGTGTCAACTTTTCTCGTGCTTTGTCTTATATCCAGGGGAGTACCTCTCCTTCAGACAGTGTAACATT